GAAGAAATTGGGTAAAAGAGAAGTTTTGGGGGAAAGAGGAGGAAATTGGGGTGAAAGAGGAAGAAATTGGGATAAAAGAGGAGGAATTTGGGGGAAAGTAGGAATTTGGGGTGAAAGAGGAGGAATTTGGGGTAAAAGAGGAAGATATTGGGATGAAAGAGGAGGAAGCTGGGGTAAAAGAGGAGGAAATTGTGGTGAAAGAGGAGGCATTTGCGGGGAAGAGGAGGAATTTGGGCTGAAAGAGGAGGAAATTGGGGTAAAAGGAGGAATTGGGGGGGAAGAGGAGGAATCTGGGGTGAAAGAGGAGGAATTTGTTTCAATTTGGCCTTTTCAGCAACGCTGCAGTGTGGCAGTGCCCGCCCCCAACCAAAACTCCTGGCATCAGGCTTCCCTCTCATAAATAAATGGGGAAATCGGGTCAGTTTCCTGCTTATTCACCAAAAATAATAATTCAACAGTTTTGAAGCAGAAACGAGGCTGAAATTTCAGCAAAGCCCCCTCAGCCCTGGCAGATCCGAAAGCCACACGGTGTTTGCCAAAAACTCCTCGTTCTCGTTCCCTGCTCGCGGCCAGGTCCATTCGGCAGCACCGGCATGATCCGGTCTTTCCCGGTGGATCCCGGGGGTCGGGAAATCTGAGGGGGGAACCTGTGGCCTCGTCCCGCACCCGATGCTTGGGAGCTGCTTTGGGTCTGATCCGCAGAGATTTGGGGATGCCAAGGGCTGGGGGTGCAGTGGGTCCTGAATGCAGCTGAACGGGGCACTGGGGATAATGGGGGTGCTGGGGATACTGGGAGCACTGGGGATACCGGGGGGTGCTGGAGATACTGGGGCGTACTGGGGATACTGGGAGCACTGGGGATACTGGGGGCACTGGGGATGACTGGGGGCACTGGGGATACTGGGGGCACTGCAGATAACTGGGAATACTGGGAGCACTGCAGATAACTGGAGATACGGGGGGGGTACTGGGGATACTGGGAGCATTGGGGATACGATACTGGAGGTACTGGGGAGCACTGGAGGGACCAGTGGCACTGGGGATACTGGGG